CCACACCACAAAAAATCAGAGTTGCCGCTGTATTTTGTCATCAGACAGAATCAAGAGGCTAACTCTCTAACGGAATGGGGGAGGTGAAAAATAAATGTAGGGCGTTGGGAAAACAAAGACCCGAACCAGTCGAGATGAAAAAGGGTCCAAAACAAACTGGGGAGATAGATAGATAGATAGATAGATAGATAGATAGATAGATAGATAGATAGATATGAACAGGTTGAGACAGATAGCTAGATATGAACAGGTTGATATATATATATATATATATATATATATATATATATATATATATATATATATATATATATATAGAGAGAGAGAGAGAAAGAAAGAGAGTGTGAGAGACGAACAGAGAAGAACTGTGCAATTTAAAATTGTTGCAAAGTTTTTTTCTGATTGTAAGTATGAGGCTCCATTTACTTGCTATTTTCTGGAAGCCGTCCTTATCCAATTTTCTTGGCTTCATATTGTGCCTTTAATAATCATCGTCGTCATTTGTTACTTAAATGTCTTAATAGACGAACTTTTAATTTAAGTTTCAAAAGTTTTTCTTCTTATCGAGATTGTAGCTTGAAGGATGAAGCTATAAAGACGAACACAGAGCTACAAAGAGGAAAAAGAAGCGCCTAAGAAATAATGAAACACATTGTAAGAATTACGAACACTATAGCACAATAATCTATTCACAACTTGTATACAATGTCTGTCCACAAAAAATTAAATATATTTTGAATATCGCGTGAACGAGTTGGTTGTCTCAGGTCATCCCATAAGTTCTGTCCGAATTTTACCTTTTTTTTTTAAATGAACGAAATTTAAAGAGTATTTTATAATGTCTAATGGAGCTGAACATTATTTTTATGTTTAGATGGATTTAAACTGATCAAATTTTATTTCAGAGAACAATAAATCTAAATTTTGTTTGATTAAAACTCTGCTAACATGGAAGTACCCAAGAATCATTTGAGGCAAATAATGCTTTATGAGTTCAAGAAAGGAAACTCAGCAGCCGAAGCGGCTAGAACATTCACTCAGTTTATGGAAAGGAGTGTGTGAATGAAAGAACTTGCAGAAGATGGTTTGCAAAATTCAGAGCTGGAGTTTTCCCCCTTGAACCTCAAATCCCGAGTTGACATCTGCTCTTCTTTCCATTCTCGCCAACTTGTTTCACCTTTTTTGGATAGACTTGTGACTGGCGACGAAAAATAGATCTTTTATCGAAATGTTAAGCGTCGTAGACAGTGGCTTGGTAAAGGGGAAGGACACCAGCCACAACCGAGAAGGGAACTTCATGGGCAAAAGTTTCTTCTTTCAATCTGGTGGGATCGCCAAGGAATAATCCACTTTGAATTCTTACCACCTAATGCAACAATTATTGCTCAAATATACTGCCAGCAATTAGAGCGTTTGGACCAAGCTTTGAGGAAAAAAATACCTGCTCTAGTGAATCGAAAAGAGGTGATCATTCATCATGACAATGCGCGACCCCACACAGCAAGAATCACCTCACAAAAGATCGAAGAAAATTCCTCATCCACCTTATTCTCCCGATCTTGCTCCTTCAGACCACCATTTGTTTTGTAGCTTACAGAATCATTTGAAAGAAACAGCTTTTGTAACACAGGACGAGGTTAAAGCTGACATTTGTGAGTTCTTCGAATCCAAGCCAAAAGAATTTTACAGTAATGGAATGAGTAAGCTTGTTAATAGATTGAAGGAAGTCATAGATAATCAGGGAAAATACATTGTTGATTGAATCTGTAATTAAATGTAACATTTGGTCACTTGTTTTCTTTATTCAAAATTCGGACAGATCTTATGGGATGACCTGATACATAATTTAACCTTAACATAGCAACCAATCAAAATGGATATCACTTCGTATTTGTGGACTAATATTCACTGGTGTGGGTATTCAGTTGTTACTAAGAGGCCTTTGAGTGAACGTCCTGGGTATAACGATACACCACATCCGGGAGTAAGGTCTCTGATCCGGAGTTTTTGTGGGGCGTGTTTTTTTTTGTTTTTTTTAGTTTGGTTTGTTTTACGGCATATCAACATCAATGGGTTATTTATTGCCGACAAAAATTTTTTATTGCTGATAATATGTTTTTTCAAACATATATTGTTAGTAATATTTTTCCATCGAAAATTCTATTTCTGATATTTTTTTTTCAAAAATGTATTGCTGGTAATTTTCGTTTTTTGCCTAAAATGTGTTTCCGATAATAATATATTGCTGGTAATAATTTTTTTTATAGAGTATCTCTGATATTAAGACCTATTTTTTACACTTTCATAGTGTTTTGACCCCAGTTTGGGAGTTAACTATTTGCCCATATTTGGGACCCTAACAGGTTTTTTCAGGTGCTACCACCTCGAGTTAGCGTCGACCTGATAACATCAGCAATTAAGAATTGGTTCCACACTCCTCAAAACCTCCTGATCAGAGGCCTTGCTGTTGGACGTAGTTCATCGTCTTACCCAGGATACGGATGTAATTTATCGTCAGGGTTCCAGCTATGGCAAATAGTTAACCTCAAAACTGGTGTCACAATACTATGAAGCTATAGAAAATATTAGAGTAAAAATACCAGTAGTACATTTTCATAGTAATAAAAAGTACTAGCAATACATTTCTGTAAGGAAAAAATATGAGCAATGCATTTTGTAACAAAAAATATCAGCAATATATTTTTGTGATTAAAAATAGACGAAAAATAAAAATTACCAGCAATACAAACGGTTTTAGTGAACGTCTATTCATTGAGAATCATTATATTTACTCAAGGAGTATTTGAAAAATATCCTGCAGGATTTTCTTTGTCTAAATACTGTCTCACCTCGGCTCCTCAGCTGCCATATTACGTAACCAGGCTCTCTTTGAGGCTTGACTTTTCCCGAAGCTAAAATCTCTGCTGAAAGGTCGACATCTTCCGATAGATGACGAGATTAAGAAGCATGCATTGATGGCAACCCGTAAAAGAGAAGTGCATTTTCTATAATATATTTCTTTACTTAGCAGTATGTGAGTCAAACAGCTCGAACTTGCTTCATCATTGATTGTTGTCCAAATCCAATCATCCACAGTTTCGAAGTAGTATTCCATATAATATCCATCGTGTCTTTTACGTACACCATTATTGGGCATATATAATAATGGCATCCCAAATTAATCTTTGGAAACCTATTCTGCTTATTTTCTTTTCAATCTGAGAAGGGAGACAAATCTCTTTATAGTATCAAAAAGAATTAAACCATTTTGATAATATAATAGAAAACATTTATCTATTAAGGTATTTCCAGATTGAAGTTCTCTTCTCATCATATTTCTGTTCAGAAATATGATGTTTTGACTCTAGTGTCATCGTTTATGGTTTCTTAGTGTTATGGGAACCTACCTTCATGGACAAAATAGACTCGTCTAATGATTATATTATGCCTCGCAAGAGGACTCTAGACGGGTGAACGCGTTGACTACTGTACTTAGCCGTCAGACGGACGTGCAACACTTTTGTGTTCGTTCTTTTTGTTAATAATATGTTTTCACTGAATTGCGGAGTTCGAGTTTTCTTCCGGGTCCACAACACTTAGCCACATTCGAACTGAGTGGCTGTAGTCCCAAAGATCCAATGGAAGACCTATCAAATTTATGACTAGAGGATTGTCTACATTTTTAACTTCAAGAAGATTTCTTTTGTCAGAATAAATTATGTTGATCACAGAAAGGCCTCTTTCAGCCTCCGCAGAACTTTCAGTAATGATATTAATTATATTTTTAGCTATTATATATTTTAAATATATTATAGATTATTTTCTAATGAAGCAATATTGAATGAATAGAATGATTCATTATTTTCGGCCTCATGCCTAACAACATTAGATATTCAGAGGAAACAGTGTTTGATAACAGGCACAGGAAGGAAACTACAGGAACTCAAAGTAAACTTAATAAACGAATGTAAGAAAAAAAAAAGACTAAACATCAACTATAAGAAGAGAGAATGCATTGTTCTCAGTAAATGAAGGTACCCAACAGGCAAAGTACAAATTGGAAATACCAAAAATAAGTCAGTGCAAATATTCAAATATCTAGGAAATGTTTGAACAGAGGAAATCCAATGGCGTACTGCGAATGCGAAAGATGTCTACCAAAAGCTGAGCAAAGTATTAAGAAACAGGAAAATTTCATTCGAAGCAAAAATTGCATTGAACTGTTATGTAATATCTGTTATCCTATATGACTCAGAAGTGACGTTCTACAGAAGGATGCTGAGGATAACATGGCCCGAACATGTGTGCAATAAGAACATTTTAGATAAAAGTGAAACATTTATAAGTAGCATCAGCAATAGGTAATTATTTTCGTAATTGATTAATTCGTTTTTTACGGCTTATCAGCCCTTTGCAGGTTATTTAAAGTTATAATTTTTTTTTAGATTGTAAGAATTTGGAGGTGGGGAGGAGGATAATAACTATATAGGGATAAAAGTTTTACTAATTAAGCCGTCGCTGTGGCGAGAAGTGATGCATGCCATGCCTTTTCTAAGGATATCTCCTATATGACTAAGAAATGTGAAGGATGTCGAGGATACCATGGGCTGAACATGTGAGCAATAAGAACGTTATAGATAAACGTGAAACACTTGGCGATGACGTAATGGATAGTGGTTCGGATTGAGGAATCGGAGAGCCACGTTCGAATTCCAGTCGAATCAATTACATTCACCATTCGGAAATTCTTCTTCTCCCCGACACTAGCTATGGGTAAATAACAGGATAGACCGGGTTCATTAGCCTTAGATGGCAACTGGTCTAATGCTGAAAGAAATAGCAACCTACTGCGGGAAAAAAATCTGCCTCGGCAGTTATATATCGAAATATGATACATGATCGCCTAAGCGTGTATCACGCATGGCACATAACTGACTGATATCCCGTCAGTGTCATATTTTCAAATCCCACTTTCCTCAACTATTATAATTGTCTCTCACTTGGAACCACCGGTCCCCGTACGATCATCGAAGTTAAGTAACATTGAGCCTTGTCAGTACCTACATGGGTAACCTCTTGGGAATAGCAAGTGCTGCATGCTTGAAAGTGCGGATTGTGCAATGGAAAATGGCTCGGTACTACATTGGAAACAAGGTCTCATCAATTTACAGTTGAATTTGCTAGATGTAACTATAAGTTCTATACTAACAGTTTCCTTTCTTGCACTTCTTGCCTGTGGGACTTTCTTCTAGCTTCTTGTTTTCAGCTTTCTCTGATCTTCAAAAATTTAAATGCAATGTTAATCATTATCTACTGTCTTCTTGATACCTCTTCTCACTCCTTAATAATATTTTGGAGGCATGGTGAAGTAATGGATAGTGGCTCGGATTGAGGAATCGGAGAGCCGAGTTCAAATTTCAGTCAAATCCATTGCATTCATTTATGTGCTAATAGTCTTGGGAAAGGTATGAATTTTCTTCTTCTTCCCCAGCTATAGGTAAATAGCAGGACAGATGGGGTTCTATAGCCTTGGATGTCAACTGGTCTACTACAGAAAGAAATGGCAAACTACAGCGGGGGAAAAATGCCTCGTCAGTCATATATCAGAAGATACATGATCACCTAAGCGTGCATCACGCATGGCACATAACTGACTGACTACATTTAATCAAGCACATTATGGGTAACTAGCAGGAAAGACAGGGTTCTATAGCCTTGGATTGCAACTGGTCTACTTCAGAAAGAAATGGCAACCTACTGCGGGAAAATTCGTCAGTCATGTATCGAAATACACATGATCGCCTAAGCGTATATCACACATGACACATTACTGACTGAAATGCTTATACGTAGCATCAGAAATAGATAATTATTCTAGTGAGTGATTAATTCGTTTTCTACGGCTTATCAACTCTTTGCAGGTTATTTAAAGCCAGAAATTATTTTTAGATTTTAAGAATTTTTCTTTGAGATAATAACTATATAAAGATAGAAGTCTTACTAATTAACCCATAGTTGGGGAGAGGAATGATGTATTCATGCCTTTCGTACCTGAATAAGTGAATGTAATGGATTCGACTGGAATTCGAACTCAGCTCGACCCTGTGTAAATTGTTGACCGAAAAGGGGTTTGTGGAGATAGCAAAAAGACCAACATTAGCAATGTACACAACAAGCAGGAAAGGACTGTGAACGTTCTGAGGGGTCATGGCACAAAAAGAAAGAAGGAGAAGAAGGGTGTCTTGTTTGCACTTATTTTCAAGCTGATGCGGCCTTTTGATCCATGTAAACAAGAAAACATTTAAACTGAGGAAATAATATCTGTGAATATTTCTGAAATGGGGTATTGTAATCATTTATACTATTTACATCATTCGGACTGCTGTCCTCATCATTATTGCCATATTCACGTGATTTGCTATGGGCAAATAGTTATCCACCAAACAAACAAACAAAAAACCATATGAAAGTATAAAAATACACTTCTATTGTAAAAATAGTATCAATACATTTTCATATAAAAAAAAACTACCAACAATACATATTTATATTTGAATTACTAACAGTACATCAACCAATTGAAAGAATTCATTCATAACTTTAATAAATATAATATCAATACACTTCTATTGTAAAAATACTATCAGTATATTTTTATATAAAAAATTATAAACAATGCCTATTTATAGTAAAATTCACAACAGTATATCAATCAAGTGAAAGAATTCATTCATGACATTAATCGATATAATATCAATACATTTCTATCGTAAAAATAGTATCAATACATCTTTATATAAAAAATTATAAACAATGCCTATTCATGCTAAAATTGCCAACAGTATTTCAATCAAGTGAAAGAATTCATTCTTGACATTAATCGATATAATATCCGAAAAATGTTTAAATCATACTGTGTTCCATAATATAACTTAAAAAAACTATAACGTAAAGTACACATATCCCCTCAACTAGTAATTATGTCCATACAAACATGTATATGCACAAAAGCGGAAAATAATCTACCATGTATTCAATTGTGAAAGTAGAATAACATATCATATTTTTATTATTACCAAGAAAATTAAAATTCGGCATTAAATAACCCATAATGTGTTCATGTACCGTTAAAGAAAGAAATCAAATCAAAATCTTTCCAGTTCTAGATCATAGTTTAGAAAGGTTTATCTTGGGCAATATTTCATTGGAACACTTGGTAGCGAAGGTTGATGTCTTGTTTAAGCTCATTCTTATCCCAACCATGAATACCTATGTCATCAGCTTGACAGTTTGAGCGATTTTATTTGTCGTTGATTCTTTTCTATTGTCTGCTAGGATTCCCGCCACCGAAAAAAGATGGCTACAGATCTTTTACTAATGTTTAGTTGCTCCCAATGTCGGCTTTGACCAAGAGAACGCGAACGTGAGGCAATCATTTCCAAGGAAGTTCTCACACTTAAGAATGCTTTTATGAGGACGAATGTACAAAATTTACTGAAA